TAATAAATCTACAGTTAGGCATAAAAAAATAGCGCTGTGGTCGCCCCTGGTCAGACTCATTAGTACAGATATGGGAAAAAAATTAATAAATCAGTCATCGTTCAGGGAATGATCAAACCACAAGCCGAGCATTGTAACTTGCACGCACACATTAATGTTTAAGTTTAGCCATCAATTGCATAGAAAGAGTTATATAAGACATTAAGAGAGGTCAGATATAATCCAGGTCCAAAACCATTTTTATCATATTGATACCAAATTGTTATTAGGGCAATTACACAGACTTATGTAAGCACGGCATGTTCCTCTGTTATATTGTAAGTATGCCATTTTCTTCCTCTTATGTTGTTTTTGTCTTGGACAAAACACCAGCTTTGTTTTACGGTAAAAAGAACAAACATGTATGTTTCTACCAGTGGGAAAAAAAGCCCAAAAAACAGTTACCAGGCAGATCTATGTCAATTTCATGCCATTTCAACAAGCTTCCATAAACACTAGTTTTCTGATCCTATTGTACTTAACCGTTATTTAAGTAAGAAGAATATTGCATTAACTTAGTTGGATCAATTTTTTTTTCAATTTCAATTTTCAACTGTTAATGATCAGAATTGTTAGATGTTACGCAGTGTGTCTTTTTTTAATCCTGTCAAGCTTAATATTCTGTTTGAGTGCCTGACATAATTCTTTCATAATGATACGTCCTTTACTGTATTATTTGTGCATTTTTCTTTACTTTAACACATTTTGCTTGCTAAATTACTCACTGTTACAGACTTTGTTGCTTTATATAGATTAGGCCCCGACCATCCAACAAGATTAACTCAAGCTATGGGAAAACCAATTTTTAATCACTTCGGCTAATCTCTTTAGTTTTGAATTTTAGCCAAGTTTGCTGTCTTCCAGATGTGACAATGGCCAGCAGGGAGCAGTGACCAGTGTTTTGATAACAGAGTGCAAATGACTTCTGAGAAATTAAAGTCATAAAAAGTTAAGGCCAGCTACTGTAACTTTTCACTCGAATCCTAAGAACTTAAGTCTCGGTTAATTAAGCAAAAATCTTGACCTTAGTGCGGTGTAGTTATTAATCTGTGTTTGTTATCGAAAGGGTAAATAATTACTCACCAACAACCTCTAACAGTTTTCACCTCCAAATGTTACCTCAAATGTCAAACTTTAATCACACCTACTTCTTTTAGTAACACATAAAATAAGGCAAAGCCAAGACGGTTTTATCACTTTTTGTCTGCAGCACACACGCCTACTTCGGGTGTTATTGATATCATAAATGACACCTGACAATCAAAGGCACCGCTTTAAGCTTGTTACCAGTTTTGTTCTTCAGGATCTTAGTCACAGATCAATAAGCTATGTCCTTCCAGTGAGTGTTTTTATTACTTATTTGAATGAGCTGCGTGCTGTTGTTTATCTGCTCTCGAGATAAATGGCTACTCAATAGGTCTAATCTTACATCTCCTGTGGTTTAATTATGAAATGAAATAATGTTAATGTTTGTACAGTCGTGTCAATCAACATCATCTTCAAATCAGTGTTCATGACAGCTTAATAAATGTCAGCCCAAAAGATGAACTGTCTTATTTCTACTTTTTACTAAGTCTTCCATGGAAAACTATGTCAAGGTAATGTCTGCATTTTGGTATATGTTAAATTAATGCACAGAAAAAAACAGGAAAACAAGTGCAAAGGTATTTGGATTACAAGTAGGGGAATGCTAGACTCATATTTGCTGCAACAATCAGTCTGTTCCCTGAATGTCAAATGACAAGGACAGTCAGGTCTAAGAAAACTGAGACCACTCCCACCCTCGAGGAATTCTACAAGACAGTTGAAATGACACAGATCCAGTATGCTGTTAAGTCATTGCAGTTTACAATTTATATATCACTATCGCTTGTTTTTAAATGTCTTTCCAAATTAGTTCCTTGTTTTTAGAGTAATAATAATAATAAAAGATTATTTAGGATCCACTTATTATAACTGAATGTCTCTTTTGTTTTCTGTGAATTTTGTGAGCTTTACTTTTATAAACGTAGCCTCTTGTCTTTTAAATATTATCAATTATTAAGTAAAAGAAACTATGCACTTTTTTTCTATTAGCATTTTTTTTGTAGCTCACAAAGTTAATTCTTTTATTAGAAAATATGATCATTCGATTAAAAACGCTGTCTTACACATTAGGTACCCCTTTAATAAACCCATTGCAAAGCACAAACATGTTCAACTTACTTGCAGAGTAGATCAGAGTACGTCAGGTGTCACAAGTCCATCAATTCCACCAAGCATAAGACGATGTGTTGCTCAAGTTGTGGTAACCTTCACATTTAGTTGGCTGCAAAGTGTGACATTGTAGGGGGCCGGCCTGGTCCTGAGGCAAAGTCCCATTTTTTTGTGATATCACTGCTAGCATGTCTCCTTGAACCCTTATTGGATACAAGAATTTATGACCTATGGAATATTTTAGAAGTTCCTTACGACAAAACTGGTATGTCTGTTAAAGCCTTTTCATGTTAAAATTCTGTGATTTATTAGAAAAGAAGTTAACCTTTGCTCAGTCATGTAAAGGCTTTGTCATTGGCACACAGATTTTCTTTGTCTCGATTGTCCCCAATTTAGCTCTGATAAGACAAGGAAGATCACAGGTGAACCGAAAGTACACACTACGTTTCAAACCACTTTTACTGCAGTCATAAGCAAATTTAGCTGCAACAAGGTCAGCAACAGCAAAACAAACTTCTTGTGCTTTCAAAAATAGATCACGATCGTCCCTCCATTTCAAAACCTGCCTGATTCATGAAGCTGATTTTCTAAAGTAATGTGTGAAGACAGAGATAAGAGACATTCCTCTGAGAGATAACCTGGAAGGGAAGTTCATCAGTGTGTCACTTGCAAGCAGCAGCTTTATATTGAATAAGTGAAAACAGACAGGAAATAGTATATCTATTTAACTACATGACTGATAACACAAAAATATGAAGGTTACACAAGGGTGTATTGATTGGTTTATTGATTTATTTACAGTTTCTCCCTCCACACTGTGCAGGGCCATACATGTCTTTATAGGCCTGTATGGCCCTGCACAGTGTGGAGGGAGAAACTGTAAATAAATAAGAGGTAAAAGTAAAAATGTAAACTAGTTAAAAGAAGATTTTGATCAGATAACCAATAAAATAAGCTCATACTGACTGTCAATTCAATTCCTGTTTTTTAATACAGCGCCAAAATCACAACAACAGTCGCCTCAAGGTGCTCTATATTGTAAGGTAGACCCTACAATAATACATACTGAGAAAAACACGACAATCATATGACCCCCTATGGTGACAGTGGGAAGGAAAAACTCACTTTTAACAGGAAGAAACCTCCAGCAGAACCAGGCTCGGGGAGGGGCGGGGCCATCTGCCACGACCAGGTGGGGTGAGAGAAGGAAGACTGGACAAAAGACATACTGTGGAAGAGAGCCAGAGATTAATAACAAGTAGGATTCAATATATTCAATATTGAATACATAATTCAATGTATTTGTCTGCAAGGGTACACATTATGACATACCTGAATTAAGATTAGAATTAAAGGGCCATGCAAGTGATGGGCCAAGATTAATTCACTTTATTTTCAAGACTATTAGAAAACATGTAGACCAGGGGTCCCAAATCCCAGTCCACGAGGGCCGGTGTCCCTGCAGGTTTTAGATCTCATCCTCGGTCAACACACCTGAATCAAATGATTAGGTCATTACCAGGCCTTTGGAGAACTTCAACACATGTTGAGGAACTAATTTATCCATTTAAATCAGCTGTGATGAATCAAGGACACATCTAAAACCTGCAGGGACAACGGGTCTCATGGACTGGGATTGGGGACCACTGATGTAGACTATGTGTCTGTGACTGAAAGGTATGTGACTGCTATGGATTAGGAGTGATGCTGTAGTGATCCACCACGAAAAGTGGTAAGGAAACAATCAGATTAAAGACAATCTACAGAGTTTTTAAGAGAAAGCTTTGATTAAAAAAGAAGATGGTGTTTTGAGCTGGAAAAAGAGGCAAGAAGGGTTTAATTTAAGAGATGTTGTTAAATCATGTGTCAAGCATGCAAGGAGTTAAATGTACAGTAGCACATGCTTTCCAGCACATAAAATATTACTGAGGTAAAATTTGTTTTTTTTTGTTTGTTTTTTTTTTATAGAAATTTTAGTTTACTGGAACTATTATAACTATTTTCTTTATATTACAACTATGTAATCCAAATGCATATTAATTCAAATTTTCATTAACATAATATGACATAATTGCTGTACAATTCGAAATTTAAGGATGGCCTTAATTAAAATCAACACGCAGAGGCACAGCAGTTTGAAAGACAGAGAGATCTGTTTATTTTCGCATTGTTAATAATCCATAATTATACTGCCTATAGGGTACAGCAACAATATGTCTTTACATATGAAAAAATATGTATTGTACCAGCTCAATGCAGAATTTCGACTGAGCATTATGTAACTTAATAAGCTTCTGAGTGACTTCATCATGCAGCTGTCGAAACTAGATGTTTGATCAATGGTCACGCCTTTTTTCAACTTAACTTAAACCACAGATGTCTCAGATCTTTGTTCTCAATCTATGGCTGGCAGACCAGCCTCATTCAGCATTACTGTCTGTATTACTGGTTGCTTCAGTTCACTCTTATGTATGACATACACAGCCCATTGTTAGGCAGATTAGCATAGCTCTAATAACAAAAAGCAGCTGGAGCTACCTGTATCTGTAAGTAGGTAAAAATACACTGGAAATAAATATGCTCTCTGTTTACACAGGATCACTCACGAACACACTGAACCCTCTGTAAATAACCATGTTATTGTGTTCCTAAAGGCTATTGTGCATCAGTGTCTTGAAGCGTGCACACTCTAAGAGGTTACACGACATAGCTGGGCTATAAAAGTGACATGTTGGGCTGAACCTAAACAAGGACGATAGGACAGTTATGGTAAAAAGTTGCACACCACTGGTCGGTCAATTTGTAGTTTTTAGTTGGATATAAAGTCCGGTTTAGAGACTACAGAAATGCTGAAATTTCTTTCCCACAATTTAGTGAGGACTATGTTCTTACTGAGTGTAATAACTGTAGGTAAGTGCACCTTACTTTTGTCAAAGCTTATCCTACAAAATATATTGTAAGAGGGAGCAGAACAGTGAAAAAGTGTTGTAAAAAGTATTCAAACTTATGTTCAAACTTTCTCCAATTTTAGAACATGTGCATTCATCCAACTGCACAAGTCGCCGATGTCTGAGTAACGTGTTGATAGATAAAAATCTGTTGTCGCAGCCACAGAACGATAGCTGCACTCACGAAGTCCGAGTGCCAAAATTAGAGTACCAGACTCTGGAAGTTGTAAGTATTAACTTTTTGTAGTGGAGCTAATTTAGAATATATTTTCATTTCTCCATTTACACGTCTTTGGTGACTCTTCTGTATGACAGTTCTTTGTTACCTAATTTGTTTTCAACAGAACACAAAGCAACTCCGTCTACTAATTCTTCTACAAGCCTCGATCGTAAGCTTCAAAATACTTTTTAAAAAAGTAAAAAAACAAACAAACCCCAAAACATTACTTTGAAAAAAATACATTTTGATCTGAAAACACAGGAATGGGAAGATCCTGAGTTGGCGTGGGACACATCGGTGTACAAGTTTGATGAAGTAATTCTGCCAGTAGACAAAATCTGGACTCCAGAACTCCTTGTAACAAACGCGTAAGTAGTTTCATCCAAGAGCCATCACTAAGCCAGTTCAAACAATGGCTAAAATTCTTCTGAGACATCACTTATCTCTTCTGTGTAGAATGACATCAACTCTGAAGCACGGCTCTGCTAATGTGCTGGTGTACAGTAACGGCACAGTGAAGGACGATCTGATCATATATGCAGAGGTGAACTGTGAAGTTAACCTGTTCAACTATCCCTTCGCTTATGATGTGTGTCCTGTTGCAGTACAAGCCTGGGACACTGACAGTAAGCTCAGCAATTCACTAATATACTACATATGTGATCATTTCTGAGATGTGTTTTATAATGTCTCGTTTTCGCGTACTTTTTTGGCCATTTGTATAAGTTGAAATGTAAAATTTATGCATTACCATTTGAATGGAATTGTAATAATTTTAACAGTACGATAATCTCATAACAACACCGCTGATCACCGTTTATGATCAACGATCATAAAAGTGTAACATGGAAAAAAGCAGGGTAACTGCAGTTCTTCAATATAATTTAATTCATTGCAGGTCTTTGCTACCAGTTTTACTGCTTTTAATTTGTGTCTTACAATATTGCTAAGAAGTCACTCGATTACTGAAAAGAAATTATCTTTATGACTCTATTTTAAAATAAGCAATCTCAAAGCAGACTTAATTTTATTCAGAATGTGGTACAACACTGGTGTTTGGTGAAGTGAGACTAAGTGATAATAGTCACGGAGACTGGCAAACGGTGGATGCAAAACTTCAGAAAAAACGAGATGACCGCAATTACATCCAGGTAAGTTCACCCAGGCCTGCCATTTGTAACTAAGGGTACTGCAGTGACTGTTTAAGAGTTAAATTCATTTTTATACACCCCCCCCTTCCAGCAGTTAAAAACTAATTAGACTAAAAATAAATTAAATGATTATCATTGTGTTTTTTGAATTCCTGAAGTTTAGAAGACATAGCCAGTGTCAAAAAGCTTTGTTTCGGGGCCTTTACTGCAGTGACAAATTGTGTCACTGTCCAAAAATGAATGAATCTGGCTGTACATAGACCCACTTTCTTTCATGGGGGGGGGGATTTGCTGGTTCTCTTGTCACATATGATGGTGACCCAACATTTTTTCAACAGCTAGGACGAGCAAAGAACGGACTTATCTTATTAACTGCTGCATCCTTAGATAACGTCCTTTTCATCTTTAAATTGAACACTGGCTAACATTTATATACATAGGTGTAAAAAATGTCAAGTGTTACAAAGATTCTTTCAAAAATGAAAAGCCACTTACTTTATTTCCTTCTGCTATGTTTTCTGTTATACTCCTAAGGTGGAACTAAAACTCAAACCTACCAACCCGTTCTTAACATTGATGCTGCCCAGTTATTTGATCCTCTTTGTTGATATAGTCAGCTTTGCTCTGCCACTGCGAGGTGGAGGACGCAATGCTTTCAAGGTCACCCTGGTGCTCAGCTTCACCCTGTTTATCAATATCCTAAATAGCCAGCTCCCCGGAGACAGTGAATGCAGCCCAATAATCCGTGAGTCATGTTACAAGGAGAAACATGTGCACAAACAAACCGTATACATGGCCTCACACTGGGTGTTAAATAAAAAACCTGACTAATTTGTTTGTGCTGCAGGACCCCACTTCTGTATTTGCCTGATCTTCTTGATTGTGAGCATGCTGGTGTCCATGCTAACTACTAGGCTATCCCTAGAAGGCCAACTGGTTTTCTGCTGTTGGTCCAAAGGATCAGCCCCCAAAATTACAGAAAACAAGGAACAAAATGAGGATGAGGGTGAGGAAGACTTGACTGTAGAGCAAATCCTGCAAATATTGAAACTGTAAATTGTTACTATGTATGAGGTGTCTTGATGTTTATTGAGGCTTGATTTTTTTTTTTAGTAATAATGGCATAACCTATTCTAACTATGATTTCAATCCCTCCAGAAACTAAAGCTAACATTAGCACCATCCAGCCGAATGGCTCAGAGAACAGTCGAATACTCAGAAAAGTGGCCAAATACTTGGAAACTCATGAGACCAACGAAGCGGAAAAGGAGAGACAACACAAGTTTGCGGACATGTTGGACAAGACTTTTTTCTGGATCTATTTCATTGGTGGCCTTGGATACCTTGTTATGATGACTGTAATAATGTTAAATTATAAATGTGAAGTTAACCATTTTGATTTCTGGTATAACTGATGTGCATCAAGAGCTGCTCTTAAAACCAAACTACATTTATTTAAAGCTAAATCTTAGGGTACATGTCAGCTGCAATGACTGATAAAACCCTCTGCATGTGTGTATTAGATTAGTTAAACCACACTGTCACTATGATATGCTAATTACAGATGTCTACAGATGTGTGCAAATGTGTAGTTGTACTGTGTCTTTGGGTGTTTAGCAAAAAAGATGTTATTGCATACTTCTAAAAATAAGAGAAATAAAGACATTTAACTTTCACCATGAACTAAAAATCATTTTTAGGGTTTCTTTATTGTGATTATATCCACATATTTACCAGATCTGCTAAACCCAAGTGTTCCTTTGTTGCCACCAAGTGGCTGAATGATTCACCTGCAGTCTGGCGACAACGTTATTAATCGATTTTCCTCTTTGACATATTTATGAGATTAACTAGTAGCTGGACCTCTGTTTATCTGCACAACACTACTAAATTGTGAGGATGTTCATATTTAGAATTTGGGACGATATACAGTCATCAGGCACATTATTAGGTACAGCTTTCAAGTACTGGGTTGGGGTTTCTTTTGCCAGAACTGCCTTATTCATGGAATATTCAACACAGTGCTGGAAACTATCTTTAGAGTTTCTGGTCCACATTGACATGATACCATTACATGCTGGCTGGAGATTTGTCGGTTTCACTTCAATGGTGAAAATCTCTCCTTCCAGCACGTTCCAAAGATGCCCTATTGAGATTGCGATCAGGTGACTGCGCAGGCCATTTGAGTACAGTGAACTCTTTGTCATGTTCAGGAAACCAGTTTGAGATCATTTCAGCTTCGTGGCAGTGGGTACTAAGGGACCCAAAGTGTGCCAAGAAATGATCCTGTATACCATTACGCCGCCACCTCCTTGACAGGAGGCAAGATGAATCCATACTTTCATGCTGTTTATGCCATATTCTAACCTAGTATCGGAGTGCTACAGCAGAAATTGAGACTTATCAGTCTAGTCAATCGTCTATTGTTCAATTTGCATGAAAATTGTAGCCACAGTTTCCTCCTCTTAGCTGGCAACAGTGGCACCTGGTTTGGACTTCTGTATGCCTTGGTGATAACAAGTGGTTATTTGTTTGACTTACTGTTACTTTTCTTTGCGTTAATGAGCAGCTAAGAAAGTCAATACCCATTTCATAGTTTTGACATTCTTATTGGTGGAAAGCACCACAAGATAATAGTCCCTGGCTCTATGAAATCTGATGGGTCACATGACGAAATCTCATGACACATACAAGAGTGTTTTAAGAGAGTATAGACATGCTGAATCTTTCCTAAGCCTTTTAAATACTTTTTGACGACAATAATATATTTGGACTACCACAATGGTAAGATTCAAATTTCAACCCAAAAATGACAGTAAACCTTTATTTTCTTATTTACCATAACATATAATTTCCCATAAACATACCTTAACAAAAATGACCAACTTTTGTATAAATTTACAGCTAAACTGCAAAACACTTTGTCTTTACAATACCCAATATCAAACACCATAAAAAGGGTAGGTAGCAGGTAATTACATACATTTTCCCAATAATGCACAGTAAAATGTATTTTTCCATGAGGCTACAAAAATGCATGAGTTGTCAAAGGCTACAAAGTGGCGCACCCTCAAGATAAAAGGAATGATTTCCTTATCCAAATCCTCTTCCTGGAATTGAAATCACCCATGTGCTGTGAAAGAAGACCAAACAGGCCCATCCAGCAGCTGACTTCAAAAACTTTCTGGTTGCTTCGTTGCCTTTGTTTTAAAAAAGAAAAAAAAAAAAAAAAAAAAGAGGAAAATATTAATGTAAAAATTCATTAGACAAACTACAGAAAAGAAGGGCTAATGTATGATGATTCACATACCCGTTTAAGAATCTGGACACCGAGATAGTTCTTTGCCATGTTTCTCAGGTTAGACTTTCCACCCACCTTGCACCTCACATAACCATACAGGTTTGCCCATTGTAAAACCAAGCCCAATATTACCACAACCTGGAGGAAACAAGAAGTAGATGTCAGCCAATAATCAGCAGCTATTTAAGTTGTCAGGAATGTGTCTTACACGCTGAAACTCTAAACTGACCAGCCATTTAATATTAAAGGAGAAGACAGTGCTGAACACAAACAGGATCCAGAAAATGGGGCACACAAGAAGGCCGAGCCAGAATACCCGGGATTCTGCGCTGGACTTTGTGTTTTTGCTGTGCGTCTGTTAAGAAAAGTAGACATATTTAAAGATATATATACATGTTATATCACCATCAGTCAAATGAAAAAGGAAGATGTCACATAAATCTGTGCACTCTGTCCTGTCCACCCCATGATTCAGTGGCTTGTAGAACCACTTTTAGCAGCAGTAAGTTAAAGAACTTGAAGTGATTGTTTTCTGGATGAGTTTCTCACAATGTTGTGTTGGACTCTTCTTTGCACCATTTGCTTCAATTCATTGAGGTTTTTGAGCTCTGAGTCTTTTCTTTGTGTGGTGTAGATCTGCTGTTGTGCTTAGGATCATTATCCTGACATATGGACCAATTTCAATACTTTAGCATCCAGAGGTGTTCACAGTTGACTCACTGACTGCAAGGTGCACAGGTCTTGTCAGTAAGAAGTATATGTGGTGACATGTTGAGTTTGGTTTTCTTTATGTCCAATGAACATTATTCCTAAAGACTTGTGGTTTGTTCAGATGGCCTAAGATACCAAGATACCAGAGAAGAGGTTTTTCTCTCACAAAACCTTCCAAATAAGCCACACAGTAATTCTCTAAACATGCTAACTGAGGCTGTAGAGTCTAAGATGTTGCAACTAGGCTGCATAGGTCAGATCGCATTATATGATCTGACCTTGGAGTGTATTTGCTGGCATGGCTACATACTAAAATCAACAGGTCAGCAAACTACCAACAGCTTTTTTAGAGGTTCTTACACTTGCTGATCAATTAATCAAATGCATTTGATTTAAAGCACTTGGATGTTTCTTACTCTTGTAATTCCAATGGAAGCAGTAAGAGTGTGGAAACTCTTTTTTTAGGTGACTGTATATTGTGGCTGTGTATGTACATTTTCCCTTGTTTTTCTATTTTACCATCTATAAGCTGGTGGTTTAAACCTTTCATACCTGATGTCTGTGAAGGTTCTAAGTCATCCAGGTCATTGTAGTCTAAGGAAGCGGTCCCCAACTTTTTTTCCGCGACGGACCGGTTTATGTCCAACAATATTTTCACGGACCGGCCTTTAAGGTGTCATGGATGAATACAACAAAATAAAACCAGTACCGGTACCAAAGAAAAAAAAGATTTATTCATAACATATGGGAAAAGACCCAGGGAAACCGGGTTAATGATAAAAACGATCCAAAAATAATGCTAAAAATCAATAAAACCCCTGAAAACCATTCAACAAGCTTCTTCTGCTTTGGTGGAGAGTCACAGATTTTTAAGCTTAAAAACTTGTGACTCTCTCTTCTGTTCTTAGAACAGAAGAAGCTTCTCGGATGAGAGGTGAAACATCTTAAAGAAACTTAGAGAAGATCAGATTCTTTTCTTTCCAAGCTCCTTAGACCCATTCAAAGCTGATTAGTTCCTACTTGCCTTCTTTGACTCAAACACCCAGTGGCTCTTCCCATTTTCATCCACTTGATTCCACCATCGAAGACCCACCAACAATCTGCCGGATACATTCTAAAACCCACAAGGTAAGATGTCATAATCTTTTCCAGATGCATTTAGTAATTTTTTTCTAATAAATGATAAAGTAAAAAGATAAAAAATCTCAATGCAGTGGTAAATGGTAAATGGCCTGTATTTGTATAGCGCTTTACTAGTCCTTAAGGACCCCAAAGCGCTTTACACATCCAGTCATCCACACATTCACACACTGGTGATGGCAAGCTACATTGTAGCCACAGCCATCCTGGGGCGCACTGACAGAGGCGAGGCTGCCGGACACTGGCGCCACCACCAGTAGGCAACGGGTGAAGTGTCTTGCCCAAGGACACAACGACTGAGACTGTCGGAGCCAGGGCTCGAACCGGCAACCTTCCAATTACAAGATGAACTGCCAACTCTTGAGGCACGATCTATTCCCTTATAAAAAAAAATAAAAAAATATGCGTGGCAGCTACTTATATAACTGCATTTAGCCCTGTGGTGAAACGTTACCCACCTTGACAGTCCAGAAGTCACATGATAGCAGAAGTATGATGGTGACCATGCAGACAACAAAGCGACCGCTGAGAATGTCACAGAAGAGATAAACCAAGATGGCACTTGTTCGGAAGAAGAGATGGAAAAAAGACACCAGAGGATGTCTGAAACCCCCAAATGGAGAATTTAGTTCGTGGTTAAGGGGGTTTGGGCTAAAAAAAAAACACACACACACACATTAAGTGCAACATCTTACCTCATTTTGGACCTTTTTCTCTGGTTATTCTCATCCTCTTCTCCAAAAAGAGGGGCATCCTGAGTGTCCTGAAACCAGAACAAAGTTAAACACACCGAGAAAAGTACCTGCTACGGCGCTTTACTCTTATTTGATAAATATTAAACAGTCTAAAACGCCTATTTCAAAAAACAATCTCTTCTAAATACTGATACAACTCAAATTTAAGCTCGATCACCTGTCTCTGCATTTTGGCACCAGAAAGCTCTACTTCCTGGTGACGTGTAGTAAACAAACCCGTGTGCTAAGGACCCCGCGAAGGTGTGGCTTTGAATTTGCCAGACACAAAGGTAAGAACAACACTCCCAAATACGTAGATTATCCGTTTATGTTTTAAGCTTGTTGTATTAATAAGTAGCCTACCTGCTGTACGGGCTCTGGGAAAGCGTTTTCTTTGTTGCGTTTTAACTTATTTGTTTTGTAATTTTTAAAAAGGGCAGTAAGGGCAAGGAACTCGAGAGGCGAAAGCTAATTGGTCATTACAGTACAACACCGGCGCGTGTCAGAGCAGGTGAGTCGTCACAACTCCCTTTACAGTCACTGGGCCAGTACAAAGGTAACGCTGGGATGTATTTTTTCAATTATTATGGCATCGATAATCTATCTATAGTCTTCAAACAGAAGGGCGTAAACCCCCCAAAACTAATGCAGCCAGTGATTCGACATAAAAAGTTCTGTATTTATAGCACCATTTAAATCGCTAGTGAAGTTAGAAATGTGAACATTTCTGACCGATTCTTTTCGTTTGTGTGTGTGGTGTTTGGGAGATGATTTTTTTCATTCGTTTTTT